GTGTGCATGTACCTGTTTGGGTGGTGGTGATGGTTTCTTTGGGGTATATTCCCAGTATAGGAATTGCTGGGTGAAATGGTATTTCTGTTTGCAACTTTTTGAGAAAGCACTATACTGCCTTCCATAGTGGTTGCACCATTTTACACTCCCACCAACAACGAATAAGAGTTCCAGTTTCTCCACAGCCTGGCCAGCATTTGTTGTTTGCTATTCTGTTAAATTTTGCTATTCTAACCGGGGTGAGATGATATCTCATGGTTGTTTTGATTTGCATCTTAGAGCTAGGGATTTTGAACATTTCTTCATGTGTTTGTTTGCCATCTGAATATCTTCTTTGGTGATGTGTCTGTTCATATCCTATGCCCATTTTGCAATTGGGTTATCTTTTTGTGGTGCTCGGGTATTTCATAAATCCTAGATGTAAGTCCCTTATCTGACATGTCATTCCCAAATATTTTTTCCCAGTCGTGGAGACGTTTTTGGACGTGCATAAGGATGATTCTTTGAAGGTGCCATTCATCTATTTTATCCTCTCCTGGTTGTAGATTGGTCAGGATTCTTGGAAGACTGTTTATGTTGTGGATAAGGACTTCTAGAGTTCTTCCAAGCTTTTCTTTAATGAAGTTTATAGTCCTTGGTTTTAGTCCTAGGTCCATGATCCATGTTGAGGTTTTTTTTGTGTATAGAGTGAGGTGTGGATCTTGCTTTTCTGCAGATAAAAAGGTGATTTTATCTCGATTCATAACCAGTTTTATAAATAGGTATGTTGTTGCTACTATGTGTGATCAAATCAACTACAATTCATAGTGACCCTAAAAACAGATGTGAGTTTCCATAAAATTAAGGATGGGTGAAATGTTATGTTCTGTTGAGTCACTTATAACTCATAGCAACCCTATGTACAAGAGCCCTAAGCCCTGCTCTATCCTGTATCAACCTCACTGTCTCCAACGAAACTACTCCCACTGAATTGATCCATTTTATCTAGGATCTTCCTCTCCTGTGTTGTCCCTCCATTCTCCCAAACATGATATCCCTCTCCAAGGACTGGTCCTTCCTTGCAACATGCCCAAAGTATGTCAGAGGATGCTTCAGAATCCTTGACTCCAAAGAGCAGCCCGGCTTCTCCTAGCAGTCCATGGTATATTCAACACTCTTCCCCAGCACCACAGCTCAAAGGCATCAATTCTTTTCTATCATCCCTAGTCACTGCCCAGCTCTCCAATGTATAGCACGCAATTGCGAAGACTATAGTCCAGATCAGGCACACCTTAGTTTCCAGCCTGGCATTGTTGCTCGTCAGTACTCTGGAGAGGTCCCTTACAGCTGACTTTTCCAATGCAATTCATCTCTTGATTTCCTAACTGCTGGTACCATGAGTGTTGACTGTGGAGCCAAGCAAGGTAAAACTGTTAACTATCTCACTCTCTTCACCATCCATACTGATGCTGCCAATTGGCCCAGTGGTGAGGATCTTTGTTTCATGATTTTGAGCTTCAATCTGTATTGAAGTCCCTGACCTTCCACAGCAAGTGCTTCAGGTCCTCCTCAGTTGCAGCAAGCAGGGTTGTGTCATCTGCATAACGCAGGTTGTTGATGAATCTTCCATCAATCTTGATGCCACATTCCTCCTCATACAGCCCAGTGTCCCGGATGATCTGTTCTGCATACAGACTGAAAATGTATGGAGACAGAATACATCCCTGACGGACCCCCTTCCCAAGTCTGAACCATGTGGTGTCTCCTTGCTCTGTTCTGACAACTGCCTCTTGGTCCACGTATAGGTTTCGCAGAAGTACAATCAAATATCTGGGGTTCCCATTCTTCTCTGAGTCAGCCAGTTTGTTGTGACCCACACAATCACTTGCCTTTCAATAGTCAATAAAACATAGCGAATCCTCTGGTATTCTCTGCTTTCAGCCAAAATCCATCTAACATTATCTAAATATCCCTAGAACCCTGGCCTCTTCTAAACCCAGCCTGCACATCTGGCAGTTCTCTGTTGATGTACTGGGCTCTTGTGTTAGCACCATGCTGCAAATGGAAGAAAAGAGGCTCTATGCCACAAGAAGTCCATCTTGGAGCAGAAGATCAAAGCAAAGGACGTTTCCTCAGAACTGTCTGAGATAGTAAGCCTTCCCCAATACTTGTACCTGATATTTGGACTTAGAGACTCTTAAATACAAGAAATATTGACCACAGCATAAGAAATGGGCAGAAGCGCAAGGTGATCAGAATCATAAAAGCCCTGACGGCTTGAGATTTAAGCCATCATATCAAGGGTTGGTAAGGGGACAGAGAGGTGTTGAATGGTATAGGCGGGAGAACAAAGGGGATGCTGGTGGAGTAGGGAAAGGGGTGGGTCAAGACACACACACCACAGGTGGGTAGCAGCATTGAATCTATTGGTCACTTCTATAATTGTGTAAATGTCTTTCATCTGCTCTTTTCTGTAAAATGTTTGTCTGTCAGATACTATTCTAAAAAATTCAGACAGACTAGGAAGGAGTATTGGCCATTCATTTTCAAAATAACAGGCCTTTGAAAACCTTACACTGTATTATATATTGGGAAAAAATAACAAAGATTAAAACAAAAAGTTAAAAATAGTTTATAATTTACTTTTCTCATGCAATCACTTATGCACATTTTGTTTTATAACATTAGTTACAACAGCTCATTACCTGGATGAGAAGGATTGACACAGTAACTGAGAAAATGGGGGCAGGTGTGCTGAAGACACAGAATAGGTAGGGTAGGGCTCAGAACTATGGTGCATAGAGTCATTATGATTCACAGTCAACTTGATGGCTCATAACAACATCTAATCCTTATTGCATATTGCCTTTCTCTTCAATCAATTTATCTTTTTATTAATTTTGCAATTTAACTTCAACTTTTTTCTTGTTGTTACGTGCTGTCGAGTCGCTTTACCTTTAATTGTTTTGACACAGAAACTCATTGCAAAGAAAAATAAAATAGTGTATCACTATCTGTTTAGATCTATAAGAAAAGTTTTGACCACAGAAACGTCATGTGCCTATGAAAATGTAACCTTCTCTTGGTCTGAACATTGGTAAATAATGACTTTTGTAAACCCTTACATCTTTCATATACCATTCCTTTCAAAGTATACAAAATATACAAATGCCTACTCTACCTCTTGGACATTGCTAACATAGTTATTACCACTCTGGACATACCTAGTATTTTAAAGCAACATGTTTCACTCTTAGTTTCAACTTATTACTGTGTAAACTAGGCTATTACATGTTTAAAAAACTATGCATCTTAAGTTCCCTTTCCTTTTTAAAATTCCTCAGAATACCACTGAGATTTTTCAACAGAGACAAATATTCCTGCTCTAAACATACACTGGACAAAGCATACATAAAATAGCAGTATGATAAACTCCTAGCTTATTGATTTCATTCCACTACATGTATCTGAACAAAAAAAGCATTGCAAATGTCCACAGCAGCCTTCTGTTATCTTAATAACAATCACCAGTGTATACAGAGAAGTAGTGAACAACAAAAGCTCTATATGATAGTCAGATACAAAATTGATGATCTCAGTTGATACATTGTCATTACAATGCCAATCAAGCTGAAAACATTTGGTCAGTTTTCAAATGAACCAAGTTGCTCAGCTCTCCACATCATCTTCTCAGCAACAGGTCTTTCATGTCTTTCCTATTCATCACTGACTGACATAGTATTTCACACACTATACTTACTAGCTCCATGATCATCCAATTTTTCTCACTTCATTAAAACAACACTATCTATTCAAAGGTATAATTAGCAGGATGATGGAGCAAAAGTTTTTCTTTTAATATTTAATTTAACCATATTAAGAAGCCAATGATCAGAAAATACCATTATCCAACTGTATAGAGAAATATATAACCCACAAAACTTTTGTCAGGCCTTAAGATAAAATAGTTCCACAGTTAACAGGTAAAATTGAGGCAACAAAAATGCATGCTTTTCTTCAATAGCAAATATTTTATCTACTAACAAAGTAGATTTTAAAAAGTAATTTTTATCTATTGTCCAGTGGCATGCTTTTTAAAACATTTATATAAATTTTATAACATATGAAATTGAAAGAATGCTGTACACAAACAGTTCTAAAACTTGCATATTGCTGAATCAATTTTTCAGGATCCCAAATTAAATAAACAATTCAAAATGTGATACAGTCTAGTGTTTATTTTATGTTATGGCAGGTACACTTGAATTTCAAAAATTTAAAACATATATAAAAAGTGGTTAAGGACTAACATTTGTATCAACAATTGATAAATGTCTAAGATTATTTATTATACAGCAGGGGACAATAGTAGTGCTAATGCCAACAGGGCACCATTGAAGTTAGTCTAAAAATTATCACTAGGCTTTATAAAAGCAACAACATATGCTGCTATTTTAGAATTTTGGGACATGATCTGCTTTTAATGCTGAGCAGTTCTGTAACATTTTAGCTGTTATACAGTGTTATTATAGTATTTAGTTTGGCAAATTTTTCAAAATAAAGTAGAAACATATTCGTAACATCACAGAAATGCACATCCAATTTTGTTTTTAATAAGAATCATAGGTACAGATCAGAACTCTTCCCTATATGAAATAATTTACACACAGATGGATACTATATCACTGTCTAAAATAATCACTAAATACAGTTATTTTTCAGAAATAAACAAGCAAAGGTTTTTTTCCCATTATCAAATATCAAAAACATGTAATGTATATATTTAAAACAAATGATGCTCTAAATTATAGAGATAATTTCAGTGAATGAACAACCTAAATCAACCAGGTTTTTATTGTAGAGCAACTATATTAAGAAACCAGTGATCAGAAAATACAACTGTATGAAAGAAATTTATAACCCACAAAACTATTTTTCAGGCCTTAAGGTAAAATAGTTCCACAGTTTACAGGTAAAACTGAGGCAACAAAAATGCGTGCTTGTCTTTAATAGTAGATAATTTATGCAGAAGATGTAACACTTTGCTTGTAGACAGCATGGTATGCATTTCTCAGCAAGACGTAAGGAAAACAAGATTCCAAAAGATCCATTGTTAGGAATGGGGATTCTTGTACAATCTGAAAAATTCCAAAAATGCATTAGAATTCAAGTTATTTATAGTACGGCACTTACTAACAACTTGGGACTGTAATTTCTGTACCACTCATATTAGAAAAAATATACAATCTATTGTTCTTTTAACCTCAGAAATGTAAATGCTCTGCTGTGTATTCTATACAAAAGGATGTTTTCAATTAAGCACTATCATTGTCTTCAACAATATATTAAACACAAAACTCAAGACAACCAGAAAGCAAAACCAACCATAAACGGAAGGTTTAAAGTCCTAGAGAAGTTTATTCTAATCTATAGAAGTGCTGAGTCATTACCATAAGCACAGCACTCTTCAGGTAAGAGAAATTAATTTTGAGTGGAAACAAGCAAAGCTAGTTCACAAGACATGTAAGAGAAGGAATCTACTAAAAGATAATTATAAAAATGCATATTGGGTGACAGAATGGAGACAGAATATACTGAACTTGGTGAAACAGAACAGAGATGAAACTCCTACAGGAGAAAAATACAAGGTCCAAGTGTCTGAATAGGTGAAAGAAAGAAATGTTCATGGAAACATACTCTACAGGTAATAAACCTATTTGATCTAATATTATTACGATAATGGAAATATATCCATGATTTCAATCTTTGCAGTAATTTTTTAGAAAGGGTGTCGCTTGGATAGAGGGAAAATAAAGGATCAAAATAATACTTTAGCCCTTATAGCTAATAAATCACTAACATGTCAATAAATGACTATCAGAAATGACAATTTTCTTGATAAAATTAAAATAAGACTTACCATATCTAGCAGTAAGTAAACAGATTCTCTATTTCTTGTTGTAGTTTTATCTGTCTCCTGGCCAATTTTCAAAAGACTGGAAGATGCAAGCTTAAAAAATATCCACACATTTTAAGGGTTTTGTTTTTGGATGCATGTGTTTTTAAGTGACACATTCATCAGTTACTAGTTTATTTTTAGTATTTTTTTCAACTTCTTTACTTTCCAATCATTCGTTGCTATATATAATATACAAATAATATAAGTAAGATATGCTTAAATATTTTACATTAAAACAATTAATATTGGGATTTAGTAAAACATAAAGGTAATAAACTTAATCAAATATTCTTTGTGGTCTTTTAAAATATGTTTTTTTAAACAAAGTATGTTTTTTTTCCCCTTTTTTAGGAATCTTTATTTTAAATTATTCAAACTATCCTCTCTTTTCCTGATTTCTCTAAAGCAAGTTTCTTCATTTACAAATTTAAAAAAAACAAAAAACACTTTAATATGAGGGAGCTCTGGTGGCTTATTGGGTAAGGCGCTGTGCTGCTACACAAAGCAGATGGTTCAAATCAACCAGCTGCTCCTCAGAAAAAAAGATGGGCAAATTCCTCCCTTACAATTTAGAGTCTATGAAAACTTGTTGGAGGATCAGCTGACTTGACAGCACAAAATAACAAGATTTCTTCGTTTCCAAATAGCAACAACAAAAAGAAATTGCAAGAGTTCAAATAGGAACATTGAGAAGACATTAAAATTATGAAGGAAACTGTAATTTTGAAAAATAATTAAATCTAATAGTTTTCCTTTACAGCTACTTTATCCTAAAATTAGTATTATAATTTATCAATTTTAACAAATTTTAAAAGCTAACAGGATTTATAAATGAAGTAAATATTCTAGTGTTCACTATACAGTGTGTATCTTTCCTTTAAACAAAAAAAAAAAAAAAGAGGGAGAAAACTGTACATTAATAAAACAGAGAGCTACGGTGAAATATAAAATAAGGAACTATAAATTTGAGGCCTGATTTAGTAACCACTCTTTTTAAGTACTGAGTAGCAGTCTTACAATTTTTCAAATATGACAAAAACTATTAGTGGTCTTCTAAATAGAAATAAATATTTAAAATATTATCTTTCTAGAAAGAAGTCTTCTCTATTTGCTTCAATTGTTCGGTGTTCTTAT